TCAGGAGGAAGAGCTTGCCCATCTTCTTCTTACTGTGAATATATATTCTCTGGGATAATCATTGTGAGTTTCTGAAGAGGCAGCTGTATAACTACAAATGAGTATTTTTCCCCCCTTTAATTTTATCTTTGTTTTCTTCCTGACCAGATCTTGGAAAGCTCTCAGACCCTGCTCAACGTCTTGAGGAAAGAAGCAGGGAACCTCAGCAAAGCCACAGAATCGAAAAACCCAGCAGCCAAAGACAACTGAATATTTCGGCTTGAAGGTCCCGTCGTTGATTGTTAAGGGGCCACTTCGGGCTGTTCTAGAGACTGAGCAGGCACTGCAGGATTTGTAGGTAAAGCAATGTATAATAAAGTGTTCCGTTTTTTCAGAACCCTCTTCCATTGAAAGGGAAATACCTTACATTGCATTGAGTTGGCAATCTTGTATGAAACAAATAAGCAGCAAGGGAAAGCAGCAAAGCACCTTCATGACTGCCAAGCCTATTTTGCAGAAGCTTTTGTGGGCTTCGGCAGTTAGTTTTCTCACGTGCACGGAAGGTTTATTTGGAGAAATGGGCTACTGTCCAGAAAGTTGTGTCTGGAGAAGCAGGCCACGCTGCTCACCAGAGCATCTGCCAAGTAGAGCTAATTGGGATTTCATGACCCACCAGACTCTCTGGCTTTTGCCACAGCTGACTAGCATGGCCTTTGCTTTGGAAATGTTCAGCAAGCATTTCTTATCAGATGCCAGATGTTTCTGCTGTGCAGGCCCACGAGGCATATCCCCTGGCGAGAACACTGTGCCGTTTTTTGGGGGGAAGAAGTGAGAAAGCAACCAAACTTCTTTTTCCTCCCGCATAACATGAGGCCAAGAGGAATGGGAGGGCTTCTTTGCCTCCCCGCCTTACCAGGCACATTCTCAGTGGGGACAGTGTTGACTGTGTTTTGGCCTAGTTTCTAGCAAAGCCAGGATAGCAGCCAAGCACCCCCGAGGCAGGTGGGCTGAGGGTGTTTAGCCTCAGAGCAGGCCAGCTAGGCTGGTTTAAGCTTGGTTTAAACGGAAGCGGGCAGCATGGGAGATAAAAGCCTCATAGCTGATGGGGGGGAGGGCTAAAGACACCTTTTTCCTATCAAGGAAGCTGGAATTGCACCAAGGACAGAGAGATTTGATCAGAGGAGCAGGGAAGAGAGATCACAAGGACCACGACAGCTGTTGTGTTCAGGGGGTTTCGGCCACCACTCAGCCATGGAGAAGTGGACAGCAACTACATGCCGTGCTTAGAGAGGATACTTCCAGAATGCCCAAGCCAGCAGGATCCATGGCTGGGCCGAGGATGTCTGGGAGCCACAGTCCAAAATGTTTCCAGGCACTTAATGGCCAGAAAGGAAGGTATTTGTGCTGCATGCAGCTGTCTTCTCGGAGCTGCTCCTGTAGACTGCGCTCTCTCTCGCTCACGCACACACATACACACTTTGTTGTCCAATTACATAAGCAGAAGGCAGTTCAAAGCCAGCCTAGGATTTAGGGCTTCAGAATAGCACGGTTTTAATATACAACTCAAAAATAGCTCAGCTTACTGTTTGCTTTAGGGAAGCCGGCTATTTCAAGTGCCCGATACTTATCCTTGTTGCCGTTTGCCCCGAAGCTCTGGCGGAAAATAGCCGCAACCTCGTGTTGGGTCCCTGGCTCCTCCTGACCCATGGAGGTGATGCTTCTGTTCCTGCAGGCGGCTGTGGCATGCCTACATGGGAAAAGGCTCTTGCGGTTTTAGCAAAGCACTAACAAAAGTGCAATTCCATGGCACCAGAGCAGGGGCCAACCCCCCCCCCAAAACCCAGAAGTGAGCACCATGTTGTAATAAGAGTGTTGTGTGTGTTCAGGCCACAGGAACAGTTCCCTTTCACAGTGGTGCATCATTTAACTATTACCTTGTTAAACGACGAAACCGCTTGACGATGAAGCAATTGCAAAATGTTTTAATGGTAAAAAATCGCTTAATGATAAGTTCCCTGCTTCAGAAACCGATTTTTCGCTAAACGATGATTTTGAAACAGCTGATCGGCATCTCTAAAATGGCCGCCCACTGTGCAAAATGGCTCCCCGCTGTGTTTTCAGGACGGATTCCTCGCTTTACACGCACCGAAAATGGCCGCCCTATGGAGGATCTTAGCTGGACACTGAGGTATTTAGCCCACTGGAATGCATTGAACCGGTTTCAATGCATTTCAATGGGCTTTTTCGTTTCGCTTGACGAGGATTTCGCTTAACAGCGATTTCAACAGAACGAATTATCCTCAAGCAAGACACCACTGTATTTTCCGCTGGTCTGGCTCAGGAGCGCAGCCTTCAACAGAACGAATTATCCTCATCAAGCGTGGCACCACTGTATTTTCCGCTGGTCTGGCTCGTCAGGAGCGCAGCTTCTCCTCCTGAGTGAGCCCTGTGCTCTGAGAAGGGCTTTGACAAAGTGGAGCACAGGTCCAGCAGGGCGGCGCAAGATGGGTCGCCCAAGGCCTCCGAGGAAAGACTGAGAGAGAGCCTGGGACGTGGACACTGCCTGCCTACCCCTGAAAGGCAGGTGCATGGAAGAGGAATCAGCCCCCCCTTTAGCTTCTTCACCCCATGTGTCCTACATTCGTGTCCAGATGAGGATAAAGATTTTAGTGTTCAACTTGCTACGCTATGTTGCCTCCCCCCCCCGCCGCATGCTGAGACTGAGGCACACAGGTGCGTCCTTGCAAATTGCAGAAAGGCAGGTGCGCTTAACAAAGAGAAAACCCTTCAGGATCCAGAGACAAAGCGCATGCTTTTGTTCTGCCGCTTGCTATTCCGGACTCGTTTGTACACCTGGCTGTAGTTGATGGGACTCTGGAATGCCCGAGAACAGCAAAGAAAAACCGTCAGCCCACAGTGGTGAAGAGATCACTTGTGACGTTTAATGAACTTTGGAAGCACAGAGTGATATCCCTGAAGGGGGAGGGGGGACAGAGACAGGAAGGAGCAGCGGTTTGGCTCATCCAGCCGGACACCCAGCCACAGTGGTCCCCACTGATGCAAATTCCCCCCCCATCCCTCTCATTAACAAATCATCACCAAGTGCAAAATAGGGAATGTTTTGGAATCATTCACCCCAGTAAATGGGCGCACCTTGATTTAATATACGAAACGAACAAAATCATAGATGAACATCAGTAGGTTTCAGAGCAGAAAACTTGGTCCTTTTGGAGTGGGCTGAACCCCGAGGGTCAACGCCCGATTCACATCAACTCTACTGCTGCCCCCAAAGCCATGTTCTCGTCTTGCATAGAGTGCAATTTGGGTGCAGAGACTACAGCGGTCTTGCTCCCGTAACCTGAATGTGAGAAACGACTTTGAGAGGGCCGGCAGCACAGTTATAAGAAGACCAAACTGGAAGGAGCGTCATCTTTCAAGCAACCAGATCAGCAAAGACTGGAAAGCAGGGTAGCGTGAGAGGGATCATCGCAACTGGGACAGGAGGGGCTGTAGACCCGTTAAACCATTCCGCCCCGCAAACGAGGAGCTGAGGCAATCCGACCGCTGTGCAGCAGCTGGGGGAAATCGTGGCCCTCGGTGCTGTGAACAAGGAAGGGAACTTCCACTCCCCTGCCACGAAGGCTGTACATGGAGCAGAATCATCCCTCAGTCACAAGCCTTTCCTTTAGAGCCACCGTGTAGAGGGAGAGCTGACCAGCTGCGGCTTCCACCATACCCACAGGAACAGCTGTTGCCCATACCCTGCAAGACGTACAATTCTAGCAAAGGGTGTGTGTGTGTAGGCTTGACGAATATATCTGACTTTCCATACAGTTCCAACTGCTGCAAAGACAAGGAGCGGTTGCCTGGCCAGGCTTTTGAAGAAGGGCACATATTTCCTCCCACAGGCAGCGCTTGGGGAGCCAAGAACAGCGGCCACCTTTACTGTCCCCCTAGAGGGACTCAGAAGACTCCCTTCCAACTCTTTTCTACGATTTCCACTAGCCACCGGAGCAGGCAGTGCCAGCCGTCAGAATCTGCACAGTGGCAAGAGTCCAATTAAGTGCTAGCGAGGTCTTCTGGAGCCTTCTCCTAAGGTGAACTCTTGAGACGGCCTTGTCCATTTGGTCACCGCTGTCAAAGAGCAGCTTGTTTGCGCCAAGTGAATGGGCAAGCCATCTCAAAACACACCTGGCCGGCGTGGGCGGTGCCACCAGGTAAGAAGGAAGAACAGCTCTTGGCGTGGTCAGACCCTCGGCAGCCCCTTCGCCACCTTCTTTGCAAACGAGGGCCTTCCAAGCGAGAGCCGTTAAGGCCACGGGTAGGAAAAGTGAGCGGCCCGGCACTATCTCTCCACCTCCAATGAGCCTCAGTCCATGGCGAGGGAGGAAAGGCTTGGCTTCAAGCGCCCACCTCCAGCTCCCACAGAACACTCCTGCGGACATACAGAAGCAAGGACGCCAGGAAGTCAGAAGTAGAGGGCAGGTTCACTACTGAAGTCGGAGAGGCTGCTCTTGTCTGCTGGGGTGAGCTGTGAAAAAAAGGAGAGACGAAAAGGGGGCTGGGAGTCACCCGCCTGTGACTGCATCGCAATGCCCATCCCGGAAAAGGGAGCCATTCGGAGAAAGAAGGAACCCCATTAAGGATCTCCCGTCCAACGCCTGGAAGCCCAGAAGCGCCAACACCGCCCGTCTTTACAGAGGGAATCGTCTGAACGCCCATATCAGACGCGCACGTCCTCTCGCTCGCTCCCCAGTCAGACAAAAAGAGAGGAGGCTGGGGCCTGCCCACCTCCCATCTTACCATAACTGGGTTGGCCAGAGGGTCCGCATCCCGCGGAAAGGCTCCCGGGCGCAGAGGCATCCCCTCGTGGTGCTGCTCCTGCCACTTGCTGAATTCGATGGAGTGCTTTGGGGTGTAACTTGATAAACCTGCTAAAAGAAACACCAAACAGCTGGAAGAGGAAACCCAACAAGCGGCAAGCAGGGGGGAGGAGTTGGGAAGGAGGTGGCGGCGGTATATGCTCCCAGCACCTTGCCTGTGGGGAACGGGAAATAAAGGGAGACCCCCTCTCCGGCCTCCGACTGGAAGAACTCAATCCCCGAACATGGCAAGGACTTTGCCTCATCACTCGTACAGCCAGCCAGAAGTCCAGAGTAGAAAGCCCCTCCAAACTAGGAGAGCAGGGCTCCTTCCCCGGGAAGCGTCCTGCTTTTCTTGCCCAACTGTAGGCAAGAAAAGCCCCAATGAAGAAAGGATGCTTGAGACCAAGGGGGGGGCACCTTCGGCCAGGATGTCCCTGGGGTGCCAGTGTACAATCGGCGAGTCCTACCTGGTCACCTCTGCTGCTGTGGGGCTGGAGGAAAGGAGCAGGAGCAGCTAATTCAAAGGCATGAGAGAGGACGAGGGGGAGGCCAGAGGTTCTCCCGAGCGTATGTTCTAGGCAGCTGCTTGTTGTGGCTTCCATAGGACAGGGAAGACTATCCTCCCCAATGGGGACAGCTGAGTCCCAGCCCTGCTATCTCTCCTGGCCCACCTCCGTGGACCAGCTTTGGCCAACAACCAAGAAGGGGGTGAGGTGGGAGCGAAGTGTGTGTGTGTGGGAACTGGGTGTTTCTCTCTCTCAGGTTAGCCCTACCCCCTCACCTGAGTTGGTGACGCTGGAGTGCGCGGGGCTGTTTGGGCGAGGAATGAAGAGCGGAGCCGGAGGCTCGTCCACTTCGGTGGCATACTCTTCCTCCTCTTCCTCATCCTCCTCTTCCTCGTCCACCAAGGAGCTTTCGGATGGGTATTCGAACATGGTCTGCAGGCTGCTCTCGTTGAACGAAATCTTCATCTGGAACAAGCAAGAAAGTGGACAGAAGTTGCTTTGCAGGCTACGGCTGCCGGGAGCTCGACTCGGCTTTGTAACGCAGACTGTTGTAATCCTCCATGTCGGCTGGGGTGAAAGAACCATCCGGGGCGCTTTCCGGCACAATTCGCGCCAAAGTACCAAATCCCCACCTTGGGGGGGGGGGGGGGAAGAGAGGTTTTACAACCATCCCTCTGGGGATCATTGAAGAGAAGGGAGAACGGGGGCACCCAAACGTTTCAACCTCAGCCGCCTCCTCTTTTTATTTTTGAGAAGCCTTCACAAGTCCTCACCCTCCAACCCCCTTCCAAAACCGTAGTGTGAAACCCTGGCCACTACATAGGGTCGCCCCTCCTGATCCTGTCATGGCAGAAGAACTCATAGGGAGCTCCTCTCTCTGGCATCCACAGAGCATAGAGCAAACTTTCAAACTCAGGAGCTCCCGGCCAGCAGGACAAAGCGGTGCCGGGGGGGGGGGCTCTTTCCGACTTAGCTTCTCTCTTGCCCCTCTTTTCTCCCAACGTGATGCTTCATCCAGATCACCTCACTGCCAGACAGGGCAGAAAGCCGAAGGGCGGTCTCAACTCCACGTATTAGTATTCAACTTGTAATTAACAAGCACACCTTGGCGCGCCAACAGGTTTTGCGCCAGCTAAGCAGAGGCTACAGAAATCAGCCTTGCTCACATTGAAACACGTGCAAGCCGTTTCAGGCCGCGACGGGACAGGAAGGGCCCAGACGGAACGGGCAGGCCAGCTGCCGTCCAAGCTCTGCCTGGCTCCAGCCTTTCAGCCCTGCCTACAGCCTGCCGTAGGAAGGCTCTCTCGCGAGGACAGTGCATGCCAGTCTTCTCGGATGAATGCCGTGGTCGCTGTTCTGTCGGCCGCCGAGGCCCAAGCCACAGGCCCGCCGGTTTCGTGGCCCACTGCCCCACGACACATGTCACTCACGGGTCTGCGATCCACGGTCCTCCCTTCGCTCTGTAACCTTTCCTCGCCTCTCGCGGTGATTTGAGAAGCCCGGTGGGCTTTCCGCAGGCTGCTCTGAAACCCCCCCCCCCAAACACCACCGAAGGAACTGACCTAGCCAGAAAGACATTCAATAGCCATGCCCAGGATGTGCGTGGAGCAACTGTGTCTGCCACTGAAGAGGCTTGGCTGAAATTCCACCCTCCCTCCCTACGACCGGTGGCTGCTTCGTGCTGAACAGCAGCCGACTGCCTTGCCTGGGTTAATCCCAGGAAGCCAAACAGCATGCCTGGGCATTAACGGAGCCTGCTGAACAATGAAAAGCAGGTTACAGCAACGAGGAAGGGCTGGGCTCTCCCCAAGGCTGCAGGGCTGTCTTTGACGCCGCGGTGACTGCCCAGCAGACAGTCTCACCCAGCGTTTAGAGGATGGCGGCAGCCCAGCCCTCAGACTCCAGCTAAGAGAAGCTAAAGGCGACGCTGACAGTCGGCAAAACCAACCTGCCCACTACGTGCCGGTTTATACCTTCTGCCCTTGGCATCGGGATTCGGAAACGTCTCAGCAATGAACAGAGGAGGGAGCCAACGAGGTTTGCCTCATTTCCTCCAAGCCACTTCATGCCTGCTTACTCTACTGGCTCCTGATGAATTAAATCTCCCTTTTGCAACCAGAATACGCAAAGCCGCACACCACTTTTGCCCGCTTTTTACCAACGCAACTTAGACTCACACCTAGGAATGTTCAGACTGAAGGACATGGAGGAGTGATGGCATCATATGGCAGGAACTGAAGAAGCACCTCTTGAAGTCTTTAAAACGTGACCGGCCAGAACTTTTCTAGTCTAGGATTGGGAGAATTTGCTTTGTAACTCTTCTGGCGTTTAGGAATGATAGTATCCTGCCCCCATCACTCTCCAGCCTTGTCCCCTTGTCTTCTGTTGCACAAAAGAGAAGGAATCTCACAGTAGCCAGAGCTCTGTAATTAATACGCCAAAGTACACAGCAAACGAAGGAGCAGAACAGCAGGCCACTGGGAAGGCGGATGTACATTTCATATTCCTCAAGAGAGGTTAGCAGAGAGTGGACTTTGAACCCCTCCCAAATCCTGGCTGCACAGGAAAGCAAAGCACACCGTGTTTCCTTATAAACGGGACTTGTGGAGGCACACGGCCACTCCCCGGCAGCAGGCTTGAAAAATTAACCAGAAATTAGGGCTGGATAGACAGCGTTTGTCACAATTTCATGGATACAGGCCAGCAGAACCAACGGACTGCAGCCAACGAAATGGGGGGGGAGGGCTCCCTCCCCTGCTAGCACAGTCTCCGTGGAGGAGGAGGGAAAAAACCCTTTGTGTGATCCGATGGAGCTCAGGCAGTGCCCGCACTTGCACAAGATGCTGGTTACACCTAAAAAGTCACGCCCTTTGGAAAGAAAAGATACCGCAGGTGAATGACTAGTACTCAGGATGCAGAGTAAAACTATTTTAGCAAAACGTTAAAACCATGGTCTCGGCTTCGAGGCACCACGGAAACCCGTGTCCCCCCCCCAAAGCCCATCTCAACTTTTCCCAAGCCGGTCCCCTCTGGGGGTGTCACACACCCAGCCGGACTCCCTTTGCTGGGAAAAGGATTTGGAAGGAAACAGGTGGTTAACATTTGACAAGATTCCAGCCTTGCTGGGAGAGGAAACGAGCTTTCTCCTTGAGACTCCGGCACCCTCAGAGCTCAAGGACAGAGGGAGGGAGCGCTTCCTCAGCTGACTTTTCCTTGCCAACAACGGCCGCCTGAGCTCTCGGGTCGAGCGCCAGGAGCCACCCGTCCTGGTGCCACCTGAACAGCACCATAGCTCTTCTCCGGAAGGGTTCCCCTCTCTCTTTTCCACCAGCACAGCTATAAATAGGAGCATCTTGGCAGGAGAAGAGGGGTATCTGGCAGTGGTGGCAGCAACTACACGGATCTGAAGGCACCGTGCTCTTGGTAGGTGAGGAACGAGTGGGTTGGTAAAAGACACGAATGCGCACAGGACACCCACTGCTTGGCACCGAGTCTCCTTCGCGGTGAAGGTGGCTCCAGGACTCCATCTGGGTCAGCTCCTAAGCAGCCGTAAGACAAAGCCTGCCCCGTCTTGCGGGCACACTTAAGAGCCTTGCAGGCTCGGACGCCCTGCGTTTGGGTCATGCCGGGAGTCTCAAACTTCACTCACAGTTGCTCACGCGCCAGTCGGAAAGCCAGAAATACAGAGGAAATGGTCACGTTCTCTCTCTGTGCGTGTGTGATCCCACCTCGGGAAATGCCAGCCGAAAGGGCAAGAGCCATGAAACCAAACCCGAGAACTGGCAGGAGTGGGTGCTCAGGGAATGAACTGGACCGGGCAGGAGCCTTGGGACATCTTTTTTTTCCACAGATGTCCCCGAGGCAGGTGTACCTCCTTTCTTTAGCCGAGAGGCTGGTTTCAAGAGCCTCTTCCCTTAGCCTCCACCTGCACAGCTTTGCTAGAGACATTGTTTTGTCTTCTAAAACCAGCAGGGGGGAAAAGACCACGAGAGGGATGGAACAAGGGACCTAATCTTAGCAGATCTCCCTTTCCTGATGCCAAGAGTGCAGTGGGATAAAACAGAGGCTCCCTGGGTTTAAAGAGCCTTTCAGCCCTGCAATGGAGCTGCTTTCTCTGCTGCCCAGCCGCTCCGCCACCCAGAGGAGGCACATCCCATTGGACCAAAATGCCCCTCAAACCCTCTCCCGGCTCAGCAGCCACTCTTTCTCTCCGCAGGCCGGCACGCTGCGGTTGGCCCTTGACCACCCCACCACCACCCCTCTATCCGCCACAGGTCCTGGCCTGCTGACGAAGCGGACAGCCTCGCCGTGCCCAGAAAGAGCAAACGTCAGCCCCCCGCCCTGGGGCAGAGGGTTGGGAGGCTCCAGGAAAAGTCTCTCAAAGCCACTTAGCCACGGCTTGATGATGGATTAGACACGTGCCCCTTCCAAGGCCTTCCTCCGACAGCCAGGGCGAAGGGCTGCACTTCCGACCGTGTGAGAAATTCTGAGCTTGGTGGCAATTTCTATGTGCCCTAGGAATGGACCCCAAAACGCAGGAGGAAGTACTCTAGCACGGAGCAATCTCAGGAGGCCAACCGGTTCCCTACACCACCTAAGCAGATGAAAAACAGGAATACCGCTTCAGGGGAAAACCATTGGCATAGAAGAGTGTGCCTGCTATTTGTGGGCAGGTCCCGAAAGGCCCATTTAGGGGATTCTTATGGTGGGTACCAGACAGGCTTCTTTTACCCTGTAAATGGGTACCTCCGGTCCAAAGCTGTGCCATCAACACAGAACCCTCCTGAGAAATCGCCCCTCGCTTTCCAGCCTGGACGATGAGGCACAAGGACGATCATATGATGCAGATTGCAGGAAGATAGCGGCCCAGAGGGAGGGACCGCAGGCAAGCATTCTTTCCATACAGACCCTGCGGGGGGAGAAGCTCAAAGAGACACATACCGACTGCCCAGGGAGGGAGGGAGGTGTACTGGGACAGGGAAGACCCCCTTTCCCCTCTGGACTTTCCTCCCGGAAAAAGACACACCTGTTGACGCATCCCTGTTTACTGCAGGGGACGGAGAAGGCTTTTCACGTGGAAGAGAGAAAGAGAGAGACCCGTGTTGGCCAACAACCCCCTGTATTCCTCAGAGGGTGTGAAGCCTAGAGTTTAAAAAGCACACCACAACTCCACTGGATTTCCCAGCCTGGATTACGGGCCTGGACCTTTGAGAAAGGCTTTGTTCTTTCAGGTGTATCAAAAAGAGAGAGGAAAAAGCTGCCTAATCAAGAGGTCCTGGCTAACGGGATGCCGGCGGGTTACCTTTTTGCGCCGGGAGCCCGACTTGCTCATGCAAGACTTATCCAAAGAGAGGTAGCCCCCGATCACTTCGATTTCGTTCACCGTGGGGTAGCGCTTTTTCAGAAGTTGCCCCAGCTCCTGGTGGGGAGCCCCAGTCCTGGCTCTGGACCGGCTTTCTTCCTCCTCCTCGTCCTCCTCCGACAGCCAAGCTCGGCTGAAGGTCTCCAGGCCGGCCATGGGGGGCTTCCTTTTCGGAACGATGGTAAAGGTGTTGGTCCCTTTCTGAGCGAAGGTGGCAAAACCTGCCGGCGGAGGTTTGTGGACGGGCAGAGCGGAATCGTCCATCTCGAGAGCCAGGCTTCCCTCCTGGGGGACAAAGCCCTCCAGCCGGGGGCTCAGGACCCTCAAGGGCGGCAAGGGGCCAGAATCCGACTCCACCAAGTCTTCGTCGATGTAGGTCACCGGGACCAGCGTCTCCACCGGCTTCGGAGGGGCGGCCGGCAGGACCTTCTCCTCCGGCAAGTCCGGGAGGGTTTCGGAAGGTTCGGGGACCCCGGCGGCTTCCCCTTTCCGGCGGGGCACGAAGAGGAAGGAGTTGCGGGAGTTGAGGCGCAGGCCGGCCAAAGCCTGGGCCTGGAGGTCGTGCGCCGGGATGGCGGCCAGGTCCGGCTTGGAGGCGGGGCGGATCTCGAAGGAGCCGCCAGAGCTGGCAAGCAGCGGCGTGGCCCCCGGAGCGCTGGTGG